AGTAGAAATGATTGAAAATTCCTGGCAGATAAATTTAGATCTTTCAGTGTGCAATCTACTTTAAGGACGTGTCATCAGAAAGACAGTAATTTTAAAAGGAATTGTTTCTCAAAGGTGAAACTGAGCGAGCAAATCAGCATTGGATGTCTATATTCCAACTTTTTGTTTAGGCTTCTCATCATCCCTGTCTAGACTCAATAGTTAGCAGACAAAAAGCACCAACAATCTTCTGCAACCTTGATTGCTTGCAAAATTCATAGGAACATTTCAAACTAGCGAAGGCAGGAAACTTCTGTAATCTCTATCGTTATTGTTTCCAGTGTGAAAACAGTGTTCTTAGCTCAGGCTGTCATGTAAATCTAGGCCAAGAAGCAGGATTCTAACATATGCACTTGTTATTAGCAATGAAAACAAGCAAATGATATTGGAGGTGTGGGGGAGCAGCCAGAAAAGTACAAAACATTTCTGGGGACTGCATGAAAGGCTAAAATTTGCTGGCTGGGAAATTCCACACATCTTAAAGTTACCAAAGTTGAGAAACACTGCCTTGGACCTTTATAGGGCACTTTCTTGGGGGAGTTTTAATATATTATTTATCTTCCCTCACTACTTATTTTTCACCCATTTTCTCTTAAAAGGAAACCCTGAGAGATTCTCATGTTATTTTGATCTCCTTTTTCATTTTATCATCACTATAGTAAGCATAGTGCCTGATTTTAGATTATCTAGTGAGCTCCTTGGCTCAGAAGGTATTTCTGAATATATAATATTAAACATCTGGCATGCTATCATTATATTATTCTATTATATTGATTATATTCTCTCTCTTGTATGCATACACTATCATATTTACAGCATACTGTACTTCTGGATATTTTCAAGCGGTACCTTTGAAATAATAATGCTAGGTCATCTAAATTTTATTTTATAGCATGCTAGTTGGCAGTAAGCTGGCAATGATTTCAAATGAGCTTGTTTCTGTACTAGAAATTATTCCTTTATCTGAATATCCCAAATTATGAGATCTATAAAAGCACATCAGAGCACAGATGTATCTGAATAATGCAGAACTGTAAGCCAAAATCAGACCATATTAAAATTTTGCAAATGTATGAATTCAAGTCACTAATAGAGATAGTAGTATTCTATAAATTAATCTATCCATTTTGTAATAACCTACTCCCCTTTTCTGTTATTCTCTGCACAAAGTTACTGCACAAACTGGTTTATTTATAGCATTTATGAAATATACATTTTGAGCAGTGTCCTCATACTGATCTTTAATATAAATAACGTCTTATTTAATAATCAGAGTAAAATGGGGGGCTGGGGATTTTTGCTACATTTCCACATTATTATCTGAGTACCTAAACACTTTGATGAGTAAGGAAGCCTGTGAAGTCTAATTTAAGTATTATCTTCAGTGGGATTTTTTTCCAAGGTAAATCTGTGCAGGCCTGTATATGATGATTGGACTTGCTTAATTTGGTTAATACGCTTGTGTAGTAAATGAACCCATTTTATAAAGCACACATACATACATACATACATACAAAACCATAAACTCAATTGCAACTAACCAAGCTTAGTATGTTGTACAAAAGAACCAGCTAGATCTTTCAATGATATAATTAATCACATCATACATATCCAGGGAAAGAATTGCTTTCATCAATGTTCATGCACAAATGGAACAGTCATTGAAAATAGAAAGGGGGTTTGCTGTAGCCCATCCTAACCATCTGACTTGGCTCTACAGGCTAAGGAGCCCAACTAGAAAATGTTTATGGGAACATTTTCTGTGATTCAGATGAAAAGAGGGAAAGAAATCCTACTATCTCCCTGCATGATTATTTGATTCCTGAACTGAGCGGAGATTTGATTTGATTGAATTAAATAATTCTTTTGAACCTCTTGATTTTGTGTTGCATATGGCCTATCTTTCTATTAAATCCCTAGGGTCTAACATGCTCATCCAGGCATTGCCAGTATGACTTTTCACAATGTTCTTGAACTCTCCAAAGAAGACATTGAATCAATATTTGGTCCAACACCTATTAAGAATTTGATTAATGGACACTTTTTATCTTTTCCTTTTATCTATCTGCTTTTCTTCCAAATTTGGATTGTTGAGTGAATACTTTCACATAAGAACAGCTGAGAGGAACAGCTGAGAAGAATAAATGTTACAAAAGAGACAGACTGCACACTGCTGTTGAAATTTAGTCTCAAACAAAATTTAAAGCAGAGTTGTGATTATTCCTCAGGTAAAAAGACACAGGAAGACTAAAAATGGCATTGATAGCATAATTTCTACAAGGATAGAAATGGGGGGGAGTCTGCCCATTTCTACAATATGACTCAGATTTTCTGTCAAGAATATGAATTTTGGGATACATACATACATACAGTACATACATACATAATTTTTTAAGAAATAGAACCAGAACATTGGTTTACTGCTGAAAAATGAAAAGGTAAAGATGCCCTTGAGTCAAGCTTGACTCCTAGTGTTTACATGAAGACAACTATGCAGTTTGGCAGTAGTGCAAGGTATTTGGCAGTGCCTTCCTCTATGATATTTTTTCAATGTTCCTGCCTAACAGTCTGAAAGAGTGACATAAAAACAAAATAAAAGTTAATGGATACAGATGATCTGAAATGAAACACTGAAATGTGGGAAACTTTTGTTAATCAACTCATGAGCCCTTTCCTTTCCTCAGGATAGTCTAACCACTTTTTTGCTTTTTCTCCACAGTCCTCACAAAAGTCAATGCTGCTTTAAAGGAGGGCTTGTCCATATTAGCTGCCTGGTGAGCTTGTTTTGGACTGTGCTTAACTATGGAGGGTCCCCAATAATGCATTCCCTCACCTGTTTATTAGAATAGAATAGAATAGAATAGAATAGAATAGAATAGAATAGAATACTTTATTGGCCAAGTGTGATTGGACACACAAGAAATTTGTCTTGGTGTAAATACTCTCAGTATACATAAAAGAAAAGTTACATTCGTTAAGAATCAAGAATCATAACGTACAACACTTAATAATAGTCATAGGGTACAATCAGCAATCAAATCATGCTAGGAAACAGTTAATATAAATCATAAAGATGCAAGCGACAAAGTTACAGTCCTACAATCACAAGTGGGAGGGGATGGATGATAAGGAGTGATGAGAAGATTAACAGTAATAGTAGTGCAGACTTTGTAATATTTGAACAGTGTTGAGGGAATTATTTGTTTAGCAGATTGATGGCTTTCGGGAAAAAACTGTCCTTGTGTCTAGTTGTTCTGGTGTGCAGTGCTCTATAGCGTCGTTTTGTGGGAAGGAGTTGAAACAGTTTATGTCTGGGATGTGAGGGGTCTATAAATATTATTAATAAAATATTATAAAATATTAATAAAATATTATTTCTAACTGCTTTTGTATAATGTTTTAACTGGTGATCTTATTCTTTATTACTTTTGTGTGAGATGGACAACCATATAAATTTGACAATTAAATAAATAAATGACTCTAAGCTGTGTCAGTTATGAAGAATGGAGGGTGGGATAAGATAAAAGTAATATTATGAGGACACAGTAGACACAAAAGTTGCTGGGGAGTGTTTGTGCCATGGTTATAAAGAAGTGAGGAAAGTCCCTGAAAGTATACAGTATTTGAGCTGCCCAGTATCACCTTTCTCCATTAATGCCATTTCACCACATAGAAAGATATATATGACAGATAGCATCTAGCCTGCCCTTTGCCTTGATATAGTACTTTCATAAAAATAGATTTTCATTTTGAGGGGTAAGTCCAACCTGCACATTAAAGTAGTGCAGCCAGACACAAATTTACTAGTAGATGATCTTACTTCCAAGTCACCTTCAGTTTTCTCTCAGGCTATTTACTTTTTTGCTATTACTTGCATTGAAATACAATTTTTTATTACATCTTTATTTAGGGGAGAAATCTTCATATCTATTCTTCCTTTTGGTACATGGCTGCATTGATTTTTTCCCCAGAAAAAGAAACTACAAATTCACTTACAAGATCTCTTCTTTGTAAAGATAATCCTGTAAAACTTTATTGAAGTAAGGCAGCTCTTCTGCAGTTACAGCTATGTCAAGAGGTTCGTTAAGACTGCCAAATTAGACCCACTTTCTTGGGACTAAGCCCCACTGTACTCTGAGACATCTAAAGGTTTCAACTGCATCAAGCAAGATTTAATGCTATAAACTCTTTGTACCTTCACAAATATGGGCACATATTTGTACTCTGCATCGTTAGCAGTCAGAGAGAGAAACTTCTTTGTTTGTGAGATGGAAAAAATACCATTGTTTTTAATGTGGCAACAACACAGCATTGGTGCTGTGCTCCAGAGAGGGTGGGAGCAATTTGTAAATTGCTTCATGTCTGTGGAAAATTAATGAGAACTTTAAGAAACTCTTCCGCTGGAGAAATGAACTGTCTCATCTATTCTCATTAGCTGTTCTTCACAAGGACCATTTGCTTCACTGACTTTCCTTAAGAGTCACCCTGCCTCTTTATGAAACTGCAAAATACTGTGTAATCCTAACACAAACCAGCAGGTTTATGCCAAGAAACCCATACCTTCTTCCTGAAGAAGTGACCATTGCCAGATTTCTAGTTTCTTAGCAAGCGGATGTGATCTGTTCAATTTCAACTGCGCTAAAATTCAAGTCTTAGAGAGGAAGTACTGGGTGTTTTAATATAAATTATTTTGAAAGCATCCACTGCTATCAAAAGAAACTTTGTTTTAAACTTCTGTCTGAGGAGGCTTATCTTTGCTCTGCAGCTGCAAAATACCATGGGAATGAACTTCAAGGGCTGCAGTGCTCTGGAAGAATCATCAATCCCAAAAGCTTCCACCCCACACAAACACATTGAAAATGTTCACCAGACCTATCAAATGAGAAGCTGACCCAGAAAGAAAAGAACAAAAGCTGCTGTTGACTTGGCTGTTTTTTGTCTGCTTCTCTTTTTTTACTCACAGTTCAGTGGAATTCCTGGGGATGTCCCGTGGTACATAGGTTACCTCACTCTCCTGACAGATGAATGCCATTCTGTCTGAGCACTGACAGAGTGGATGCTGGCACCCTAAGCAAGCCCCCAAGAGGAACCACAGGCTGAGGAAAAACAGAGCCATGCTTGCTTCTACGTTGCCCATGCCTCCCTCAGCAACTGGGAAAATAAGCTCCTCCTGCCTCCCACCATCACTCTCTTCCCTGAGGACCCGCCTTCAAGATTTGTGGTGAGTCATGTGATGCCCAATGAAGAACATTTCTGTGCATCAAGGTTTTCAGTCTATCAGGGTTTCAGAAAAGGCGGGGTTATGATGTGTCTGCCTCTGCTTCATGTGCTCATCATGTACTTTTTGTACTCTAGATCTGGGTGTTCGACATCAATGAGAGAATTTAGCACACTGCAATATTCAGAGTAGTTTTGTTTGCTGACATTCATTTGTACTTGCTCCCTATAATCCAATATAGGATGACTTTCTTTATGGCAGGACTAAGAAACAATTTTTAAGCCAAGTGAATTGCCACAGGTACACTCTCCAAGGTGGGTAGGGTCTTACTAAAAATTAAATTTGATTAAATGTAAATCCACACTTAATTAATTTTAGTACATTTGATTATTCCCCACAGAGTTAAATATAGAACACTGCTGTCACATTACCAATTAAAATTCAGTAGGAAACTTTATTGATGCTCATAGCTTGGAGCATCCAAGCCATCCTGGGGGCCACATGTTGCCCTAGGATCCCAGGATGAATTCCTCTGCTTTATGGGAGCACCATATTTCCTGACCAGATTATTGGAAGCTGTCAGATTTCTGTCCTGTAAAGGAATATGGAAGCAGCTCTGTTTTTCTCATGTTTTTAAAATTTACAAAAGAAGATGAATGTCAGGGGAGAAAATAGAAAGGAGCCTAAAGAAAATTTATGTACACGATAACACAGGATGGATTCAGAAGAACAGTGAAATGAGGAAACAAAACAAAATCACAGAGGAAGGAAAATAACAAAGGACAATCACTTTCCATGGAAATTTATTAAGCTTCCTTACACATATTTAGTCCTATCCAACCAGGAATCATGTGAATTGTAATCCAATTCATCTGAAAGGTTGAGGAAGGCTGATTTATTTCAATAATTTATGTACTGATTTGTAAAAGCCCCCTCCCCAGATTTTTTTCTTGTCACCATTTTTTTAAAAAACAAACTTTTTATCAGGAGATACAGATTTTTTTTTTAAAAAAAAACAACAACACCTAGGAACATCTTGCCTTCAGAAGTTGAGGATGCTCTATTATTGGAGGTTTTTAAGAGATTGGACAGCCATTTGTGCAGAATGGTATGGGGTAGGATGTTGGACTAAAAGACCTCCAAGGTCTCTTCCAACTCTGTTATTCTGTATTTTGTAAGTATCTGAGCTAAAGGGCCTTGTTTCTTAGACCTCTGATAAACATGCTAAGATAAGGGAATTAGTTTGGCGATTGTTCCACTTTGGAGTGGTTGTTACTGAATGTTTTTTTTTCTGAACCAACCAAGCAAATTAAATAAACATCCACTTGAGTAGAAAACTAGTATGTTAAGGAGAGGACTAGGTTCTAAATCATCACATTGGAATCTACTCTTTTTTAAAAAAAAGTATGATAAGTTAACATTGAAATATGTGAAACATCTCTTTATCACCTGCCTTTATATTCAATATATTCAGTTCAAACTCATATTGGTTTATCATCTCATATTTCATTTGTAGGAAGTCCCTTGTTGAGGATCAGAAGTTTTCAGGTCATACTTACAGAAAAATGCTCCATAAATATTCTTTGACATAATGTGGTTTGCCATTCATTTCAAAGTTTGTCAAGTATTTTGATAATGTGTATAAACAAACAATTTGTAGGCACATAATAAACTCCTTCCTTCTCTCTGACCTGAAAGTGGTCTAGTTGCTCTTAGACAAAGAAAGTACACTCTTGGCAAAAGTACTTTCATGTTGCTTAAGTGCTAAGAAGGATTGTTTAGTTAAGATTTAATCCATAGTGGTATTCAAAGAAACTTGAGGCTGAAGGGAGAGAGTGGAGTTATGATGCAGCTGTGATATTAAAGATATTAAATCAGGAAATATTTTTTCAGGGTTGAAATACAATTGTGGGCCATAGATTTGAAGGTCATCTTGGGCCTTTAGGATTCTGATTTTTTTATTCAGACAGAGAGCAATTTAGTTTCTGTAATGTTTCTAGTTAAATCACTTGGTGGTTGAATGACAAGTAGGTTATAGACATATAAAATTAGAAGCTGGGGTAATGGAACAGGGAAGGTACTGTGTTTCTCATATAATAAGGCCGGGTCTTTTTTTTTTTGAGCCCTGAAAAAATGGCTAGGGCGTCTTTTGGGGGGTGACTTAATTCCCCCCCCCTTGCATCTTTGGGTGGGCGGGCGGCGACTGCTTGGATGTTGACCTCAGCGTTGGTGGGGCACTTCGTATCGGGGTCAACGCAGGCAGCACCATATCCAGGTGTGCAACAAAAGTACTTCCTAATGGCAAGCCCCCCCCACCATTCCCCACCATTTCGCATGTTTTAATATAGGCCTTAATTTGGGGGGAGGGGCTTAATTTCATTTCATGCCTATAAGACATGCTGGGACTTCCTATTGGGGGAGGCCGTATTGTTGGAGAAACAGGGTACATTCTTTTGAAATCATAAACAGGTTTTTGAGCCATTAATTTAAAAGTAAGAGTCACTTTGTAGAGTGAAATGGGTGGGATATAATTTAAACAAACAAACAAACAAATAATAATTCCAATCAGAGGTGGTATTCAGCAGGTTCTGGCTAGTTCTAGAGAACTGGTAGCAGAAATTTTGAGAAGAAATGGCAAATATCATCTCTGACTAGAGTTTTTATAGTATCCTTACCCTGCCATGCCCACTAAGCCACACCCACAGAACCGGTAGTAAGAAAAATTGAATCCCATCACTGATTCCGGTGTTTAAATTAAAAGCTGTGAAAAGTTTATGAGATCAAATTGTATGGGGGTGGGGGGGAGGGTGTCAGATGAAAGTTGCATTTACTTTTAAAATATATGCTTATTTATTTTATTTATTTCATTCAGTTTAAGGGCCCCCTGCCTCCAGATTGAATTGATAGGTCACACTATAAGAAACAATAAAAATGCAACACAGGACAAAGTGGGGCTCCATCCAGCCTAACTCAAGACCAGGGAGGCAGATTGGTTTCCTCTATCACTGCTTAATTTTTTAAAAAATTGACATGCTCACAATACGGGACTCCTTCAAGACTCCTTCCTGAGAACTTCCTGAGAAACTACATATAGCTTCTTGTTTTCAAAGAATCCAGTTTTAGTATAAGCAACCCCCCCTCCCCCAAATATACCCCAGTTATCTCATGTATTGTAAATGTGTTGTTATTCTATTTGATAATGCTACATATTTTCTTTCTTGGAAAGAATGAATCTTTGTAATATTTAGTAAGGGTTACTTGCTATCCTATCACCATGGAATGCCTGTTTCTGATATGGATAAAGAACAGGGATGATTATTGCTCTCATGTCTAGTCCTTTAAGGTGTCTAGCTGTTTATTGAGGACTCCATGATATTTTACTACTTAGGTTTGATCTAATAGGGCTTTTCTGAATGTAATATGATCAAAACATGCCATCTCTACCTGCTTATGGGGAGGGGAAAAATCAGGCTAATCATTCCCCTTAATTGTGGAAACAAATTCAATCCACCTACCTCTTCACTATGACCTGTAAAATTATTTGGCACACCTGATCTTTCTCCAGTTTGTATCATATTTCGAACTTTAAATTTATACTGCTTATTAAAGACAGGGAAAATCTGAGATTGAAGGAGACCCAAACAGGTTTCCCTCAATTGTATCTTCCTTTGAAACTTAATAAAAGAAATGGCAAATTAAAATTTGTTACATTCCCCTCAAAACGATGTAAATTAGGAATCCTAGTTGCTGGTTGCTGAAAAAGAACAATGAAAGTGTTGTGGCTTTATTGAAGACTATTTCTATTGACAGAAGACAGTAAAAGAAGCATAATTACTTGGCAAGTATGGGAAGATGTTAGTAAGGGAAATTGAAGTAGCAAGCTTCATTGGTGACTGAAATGGAGAATAAAAACAACAACAACAAAACTTAGAGCCACAATCAGCTGCTACCCATTGTGAGAAAATATTTGGCTTATGGATCTGGAAGCTTAATGGAAAAATGGAAATATCAGTTGATGGTCATTAAGATGTAGTCTGTTATTTATTTGTTTTTGTTTTTGGTATTTATATATTTAAGATTGGTATTGCATTATTTTTTTCTAAATACCTGTGAGAGAAAATGTCAGATGAGTAAGATAAGTGTTGAATTAAATGTGATAAGAATATATTCAACCTCCTGTCCATGCTTCTGAATTTCCCAAGTTATCCAGTTACCCACTGTATAATGGAAATTGTTGCACTAGATTGGTCCATAGACTAATCCAGTGAGAAAGACTGCATTGGCTACAAACTAACTAACCTTATACTAACCTCATATAATTGAAAACCTACTGTTGTAGCCAATAGAGTGATGTCCTAGAAAACTAACATAGTATCTCTTGGATAGTTTAAAGAGCCAAGGTGTCTTTGTGTAGACATAATTTAAATTTAGTAGTGGAGCTTCAAGTTTGTGTCACCAATCATCTGATAATTACTTTGATAGGAAAATTCAAACAAGAACAGCAACTGAGAAACTTAGACCACTTGAGATGGCCATGAAGAAGGAATGCAAACATGAGCTTAGCCTGATGTTTGATGTGTAATGGACAGTAGGAATAACCTTGAAGAACAGGAGAAAGAACTGCTACCAAAACAACAGTCAGACAAAATAAATCTGCTTCCTGCCTATAAATATAATTTGAGAAAATGTCTCTGACATGACCCTTCCTAGATATCATGAAAATAAGGAGGTGGGGAAGGGTAAGTACGTTCAGATTTGCAAGAGCCGGTATGATAAAATTAGATTTAGCTGTTCCTATCTGATATATCTTAAAGTGCTGACATCTAAAAGGACAAGGGGTGCATGACAAAGAAATTAAAGATTGCCCTACTTTGAATCACTTTGGTAGACAAGAGAAA